GCCACCCTACTACTAAACCTATAAATATGTGCACCTAGGTCCATTTCCACAGAACTGGAATGTGCATACATAACCCATCAGGACAAGCCAAACCAGGAGGACCACGTAACATGTGGAGGAATCCACAAAGAGACTGGATCATGCACCGGTCCTAACCAGAATTAGCCCGACCCCACCATGGAAGGGAGCACCACAGAAAATGGAAATAGATCATCTGGTGTTGGAACTGATCCACCACACCACACCCAGAAGGAAGCTGAAGCAAAGGAAGGAGGAAGAATGGAGCGGAGTACACCTGGACCCACCAAGTTCAGAAGACGATAGCCCAGCTTGGAGGGCCCAATGTACAGAGAGGACCATATAGCTGCCCCCACGGCGAGATGCGACATCCTGCACTGACCCATGGCTCTACACGAGACAGTACCGGAGACATAGTGTGGGATATGGGACTGAACTGACCCCACCACACTGAGGCAAGACACTGGGGGCGTGCAATGGAGTGGCAGGGAAGCAGAGCAAGGCGTTCCCAAGGGAGTACTAACGATGGACTTTGGGGCCATGACGTGGCACGCCATTAGACTCGTCTGGAAAACACTCCTAAAGGTCAATAAACAGACCTTGAACTACTAACAGGCTTTTTTTCCCCTGCCTATTTGTTTTGTTTTTTTCCTTTTTTCTCTTCTTTTAAATTTTGTATGTCAGTGGCTTCTTTGTTTGTTAGCTTGTCAGTGCTGCTACCATCGTCGCCATGTTCTTATGTGCCACTTTGGTGCTGTGCTGTCAAAGCCATCCCCAATTTTATGCACATATTAATATATCTGCAGGTCCACCTAGATAAGAGAGGCTAGACCCCAAAAAAATGCGAGAAGAAAATAAAGGGAACAACGGCCCCGGGCAGACATGAGAGTGTGGGAGGCAGGGGAAGGGAGGAGGTGTTGGCCAAACCAGGGACAAGAGAACGAGTGGTTCAAATCCAATAGCAGGGAGGGGATGGTAGGACTGGTAGGGAGTGACCAAGGTCAAGGTAACTGAGAGGAATTACTGAAACCAGAATGAAGGCTGAACATGGTAGTGGGACAGGAGGAAAGCGTAAGGAAATAGAGGAAAGGAGTAGGAGGCAAAGGGCATCCATAGAAGCCTAAGTACATACATGTACATGTGTAAATATATTTATGATTATGGGGGAAATGGACAAAGGTTTATATTCTTATACAAATTTACAACCTCAAAAACCCTAAGTAGCATTGATATGAATCTGAACAGGACCCCTGAGGCATAGTGGGTTCTGTGTTTCCCAGCTAATTACAAGATCAGCAAGAGAAGCCACTAGATTCCCTAATGGAGAAAGAGGAGCTTTAGACTTCTGTAACCAGTTATAGCCTTGAAAATTCATAGGTGAAATTCTTCGCTGATCTCTAAGAGTCAGAATCAATTTATGAGTCAGAATCACTTTGACAACACTGGATTTTCTGAGAATGCACTTGAATCAATGGCTGGCAGTGAGTTTCTTTTCTGATAGAAAGCCTGCTAGCCCAATAATCCACAGATAGGTGAATGGGATGGAAGCCAACAATTATGTTCATAGATATATCTCAGACTCACGACCATTGCGTCAATGCTGACTCAAGTGACCTTCTGTGGGTTTATGAAAATATAACTGTTTATGGAAGTAGAAAGCCCAGTCTTTCTCCCTCATAGGTGCTGGTGGTTTTGAACTGCCGACCATGTGGATAGCAGCCTGATGCTTAACCATCACAGCACACGGGGACCATAATAGATATATAGACCAACGGAATTAAAACTCCAGAAAGGAATCCATATATCTACATTCAACTGTCTATTGACAAGGAATCTTTGTCTCTTCCTGTATTTGATGAATCTTTTCAGGAGCTCTGTGAAAACCAATGATTGGGGTTGATTATCTTGAATCCTAATAGAGTCACCAGAAGTGAAATTTTCTAGCAAGGTATGGGAACTACTCCTGAGGCCTAGGTAGCACAAATTATTTGATTTTTTCTAAACTACTAGCTTAAATGTTGGCGATTCCAACTTACCTAGCCTCACTATGGAAAATAAAAAAAGTCCCCAAATAGTCTGGCAAGTATGAAGAAGAAACCCAGATGTAGCAGTTCATTCTCTTAACACCTAGTTTTGTTGTGAGTCACAATTGCTTAACTGTTATGGGTTGAAGATTTTATTTATCTGGGGTAGGACAGAGTCCTCTTCCAGAACATGCAAAACAGTCAGTGAACATCCCGAAATGACACCTGTTCAGAAAGGACATAGACACACATGAAGAAAACCTGTGTCACTGCTTGGCAACTACACATAACTTTAGTTCACACCTGAGTTTTTTTGTCTCTAATCTCCTTTCTTAATGATTTCTCTCCTTTAGCTCCACCCATTCATAACGAATACTCTGCTGGAAAACAGTGCTGGAGAACGTGTCTCCCTGAATGAGAACAGAAACTGTGTGTCACGATATGATATTTTGAACTTTCTGAATTTTCCTGGTGCTCTTGGCCTTCCCATGAAAGTTGGAGAGTTCATCCCCCAGGGTCTACGTGGTCAAGGTTTGATGATCCAGGAGGAGCAGATAGAATGGGCTTTTGGATTCACGGAGGTTTGGATGAATTCTTCATATACATCCCAATGCTGAAACAATACATGAGATAAGTCTCTGGCCACGTACCTCATTACAAAATCTCTATTGATTAATATGGTCTTTTCTTTGTCTCTCTCTCCCTAACAGATATGAGGGACCACCTTGAATTAAGGCAACCCCATGTGTTACAGTGTAGAATTGCTCCCTAGGCTTTCTAGGCTGTAATGTTAACAGAGGCGGGTGGTCAAATTTTATTCTTTGCTTTCAGTGGTTGTTAGTATTGAGTGAACGTGCCACCCACCACCTGTCAGAATAAAATTGAGGGATATATATGGAATATATAATACAAATAATATAGAAATGTTTTATATACCACTCTAACACAATGGATACTAATGATTCATCAATATGAACTAATTTGAAAATTCAATTTACCTATTGCTCAGATAAGTTCAGAGTACTCATTGATTTTAGTTGAGTTTATTGTTTGAAAGCCATGAACTCCAACCCCAATTATAAAAAACAATCAAACCTCAAACCCAATTTTGTCCAGTTAATTCTGAGTCCTGTATCGTCTTATAAATCCCATGGAGGTTCCTTGGCTCTGATCTTTACGGAAGTAGATCTGCTGCTTTCTGGGGTGATTCGAGATGGCTTCAGACAGCCTTCCTTTCAGTTAGTAATTGACGAAAAAGACTTTGTGTCCCCATGGCCTTGTTGTCATTGACAGATACCATCAAGTCAGTTCCAACCAATGTCAAGCACGTGTACAACAGAAGGAAATACTGCTCTCTCAGCCCTGCTCCATCCTCACAGTTGTTTCTATGCTTGGGTCCATTGTTGCAGGGCCTCACGTGGACCGAACTAGTAGAGAGTATATTTGGGTGACCGTGACTTATGATAGCATGCATATAAAAATCAAATCAAATTTCCTGATTTTCTTTTATTTCTTTTAAAACTCAATTTTATTCTGTTTAACTTGCATCCTAAGGACGGATCGTTATTTTGCTTGACTTCACTGTACACACCCAGCAGGGTCGAAGTGTGCAAGGTGTCTCAAAAACAACTTTTTATTTATTATAAGGCTGGTGGTGCAACAGTTGACATCTTGTACGCTAACTGAAAGGGTGGTGATGGGAACCTACAGTGGCTCCAACAGAGGAAGCCCTGCTGATCCACTTCCTTAAAGAATACAGACTTAGATCCTGATGTGGCTGTTCTACTGTGTGCTATAGGAGTGGTGTCATTGTGATGCAGGATCTTTCGGGCCTTTATGAGTCAGGATCACTAAAGAAAAACAAAACACAATTATGCGCTGTGATCATATCCTAAGGTAATATGATCAACTCGTACAAGACTACTGAACTATTATCATTGATTTCTTTCTTACAGACTCCTCATTCTGTGTGTAGCAATAGCTGTGATGCAGGATTCATGAAAATCCCTCAGAAATGGAAGCCTAGTTGCTGTTTTGATTGTATTGCATGTCCAGAGGGAGAAATATCTAATCAAACAGGTAGGAATTGACAAAATACAACAGTCAGCTTCATTCACTTCTAACCAGCCTCCTGGAGTCGCTGGCTGGCACAAAGAGGTAAACACTGAAGTACATTCTAAGTTGTCTTAAAAGGTAGCTCAGACGACAGATTCTCCAATCTATGTCCACGAGATCACAGTTACAGAAAACCACGTGGAGCACAGTTTTGTTCTGCCCTCACGGGGCACCATGAGTGGAGTCCACTCAAAGGCCACTAATGAGGACTATTTTAAAATGTCACATAATTCTTCATAGAGAGCTGATTTGGGTTTATACAAAGAAATAGGGAGTTTCCAGATAAGGTGAAGATGAAAGTTTCAAAACACAATCCCTTCTACCCAGCACCCTCTAGGCGTTGAAACACGTTTTCCCTTTGTTTCTTTAAACTCCATTTCACTTTTCTCACCAGATAGTGATACATGTATGGAGTGTCCTCAAAGTCAGTATCCCAACATGGAGAGGAACAGCTGTCTGCCCAAAATTGTGAGCTTCCTTGCTTATGAAGATCCCTTGGGGATGGCTCTGGCCTGTACAGCTCTGGGCTTCTCTGTCATCACTGCAGTGGTTTTGTGGGTCTTTGTGAAGCATCGAGACTCCCCCATAGTCAAGGCCAACAACCGGGCCCTCAGCTATGTCCTGCTCCTCTCCCTCCTCCTCTGCTTCCTCTGCTCCTTACTCTTCATTGGCCGTCCCAACACAGCCACCTGCATCCTCCGCCAAATCACCTTTGGAGTTGTGTTCACTGTGGCTGTTTCTGCTGTTTTGGCCAAAACCATCACTGTGATCCTGGCATTCAAGGCCCTGACACCTGGAAGAACCATGAGGTGGTTGCTGCTGTCTGGGGCATCTAATGCTGTGGTTCCCATCTGCTCCTTGATCCAAGTTATTATCTGTGGGGTCTGGCTGGGAACCTCTCCCCCTTTTGTGGACACAGACACACACTCAGATCCCAGAAGCATCATCATTGTGTGCAACAAGGGTTCAGTCACTGCTTTCTACTGTGTCCTGGGATTCCTGGGCTTCTTGGCCCTGGGGACATTTTTCTTGGCTTACCAGGCCAGGAACCTGCCTGACACCTTCAATGAGGCCAAGTTCCTGACCTTCAGCATGCTGGTGTTCTGCAGTGTCTGGGTGACCTTCCTCCCTGTCTACCACAGCACCCAGGGGAAGGTCATGGTGGCTGTGGAGATCTTCTCCATCTTAGCCTCCAGTGTGGGGCTTCTAGGCTGCATCTTTGCCCCAAAGTGCTATGTCATCTTCCTACATCCAGGTAGGAACACATCAAAAGTTTTAAGGAATAAGTGACCAAATATTACTTGTTTGTGTTTAGTTTGTGTGTGCTTGGTTGCTATTCATAGTGACCCTTGGTGCAACGGAACAGACCACTGCTCTGTCCTGCCCCATCCTCACAACTGTAGCAGCCAGTGAGTTCATCTCATTCTGGGTCCTCTCTATGTTGCAGCCCTTTTGCTTTACGGAGCATTTACTCCTTCCCTAGAGACTGTTATTTCTTCTAATAAAAAAACATCATTTTATTGGGGGCTCAGACAACTCTTATCACCATTCCTACATTCATCAATTGTATAAAGCACATTTGAGCATGTGTTACCCTCACCATTCTCAAAACATTTGCTCTCCACATAAGCCCCTGTCATCAGCTCCTCATTTCCCCCCTCTCCCCACTCCCTCATGAACCCTTGATAATTTATAAATTATTATTTTGTCATATCTTACACTGTCTGACATCTCCCTTCACCCACTTTTCTGTTGTCCATCCCCCAGGGAGGAGGTCATATGTAGATCCCTGTAATTGGTTACCCCTCTATACCCCACCCTCCCTCTACCCTTCTGGTATCACCACTCTCACCTCTGGTCTTGAGGGGTTCATCCTTGCTGGATTCCCTGTGTTTCCAATTCCTATCTGTACCAGTATACATCCTCTGGTCTAGCCAGATTTGTCAGGTAAAAAATGGGATCATGATACTGTGCTCGGTGGAAGCATTTAGTAACCAGAGAAATGTTACATGTTTCATCCTTGCTACACTCTACCCTGGCTGGCTTCTCTCCTCCCCATGACCTTTCCATAAGGGGATGTCCAGTTGCCTACAGATGGGCTTTAGGTCCCCCCTCTACACTCCCCCTCATTTACACTGATATGATTTTTTGTTCTTTCATCCTTGATACCTCATCCCTTTGACACCTCGTGATCACACAGGCTGGTGTGCTTCTTCCATGTGGGCTTTGTTTCTTCTGAGCTAGATGACCGCTTGTTTACCTTCATGTCTTTAAAACCCCAGGTGGTATATCTTTTGAGAGCCGGACACCATCAGCTTTCCTCACCACATTTGCTTATGCACCAGCTTTGTGACTGGTATTTCTTGTTAACAAGTCCAAAGTACATGAGATAATGTCTTTCCATCCTCCCTTCTAAAGACTATTCTGGCTGTATTTCCTCAAAATACTTTTCTCTTTTCTATGGCTGTCCTTTGTTTATATGCTATTCTTCACCAACTCCATAATTCACATGTATCAATTCTTTCTGCTCTTTTCAATTCCTTCTCCAGTTTTGACAAGCATATGAGGTGATTGAAAATACCATGGCTCCCATCAAGGGCATCTTATTCCTCAGAATGAAACTTTTCTCTTTCACATTTTAAAGAGATCTTTTGGCAAATGTACCCTGTCCCAGAATGTTGCTATGAGTCTTACTCCACTAGAAGGCTTTATTTATTTCTATGTTTTGCAAATTTGTCCCATGCCATGTGCTCTTTTGTTTCTTTTTCTATTTCTGGAAATGAACCTGTTTGTCACTAAAGACTCGAAGTCCTTTTCGGTTTTCCTCTTATTTTACTTTTCTCCCACTCAGACTATTATTGCAGTTTAAGAGATCAGGAATCTGGTGAGATTTTTAAAAATTAATTGATTATGTTTGTTTTTTAAAATAGCACACTGTTTGTATTTACGTGGCCCATCTCAAGATATGAAATCAACAGTGATATTCTGTTAGCCCTCTCCCTTCTTCCTCAGTATCCCATCCCACCCTCTTCCTGCTCTTTCTCACCCCTTGTCCCCTGGCCATCTCATAGCCTTCAAAGCCTTGTCTTTTTTGTGTGTAAGCCACATTTCTTTGTTTTTCCTTATAATAACGGTGTTATTAAATATTTCCCTGTGTGAGATTGACCCCGTTTGCTCAGCATAATATTATCTAGCTTTGTCCTTTTCTTGCAGTGTATTAGTATTTTTGCTTTGTTTGTTTTATTTTAAGCATAATATTCCATTGTACGTATGTACCACAGTTTGTTTATCCATTCCTCTATAATACGGAGTTTTGGTTGCTTTGAGACTTAGGCATTTTGGAAACTGCTTCAATAAACATAGATGTGCACATCCCTGTTCATGTTGTATTCTTTATTTCTTTAAGGTATATACCCAGTAGAGAGATGGCTGGGTCATGAGATATTTATATTTGCATTTATTTAAAGAAGTGCCATAATGATTCCCTAAATGGTGGTACAATTCTAAAGATTTACCAGCAATGTGATCGCATTTTGATCTCTCCACATTCTCTCCAGCACTTATTATTCCTTCTTTCATTGACTTTTGCTAAACGTGTGCTTTTAATTTGTATTTCTCTTATTGCGAGTACATGTGCATGTTTCTTCACAGGGTTGTTGGTCACCTGGATGTCAAATTTGGTAAATTGATTGATTATACTTCATCAACACTGTTCTTCATTGAAGGTCTTTGGATACACTCAGGGTTTCTGTTTGCTTTTTCATTGTCCTATGCTGATTAAAAACTAGAGAATGTCTGTATAGTGCCTCACACAGCACTTTTCTATTCCATGGCAATCTCTGGGCAATGAAAATCATCAACACACTTGGCTGGTAAATTTAAGTCTGGGGATTTTAATCCACATATAGGAAGCTCTGAAGAAAGACCTGGAAAACTATTTCTGAAGGATCACACAGCCATGGAAAACCCAGTGGAGCCCAATCTACTTGGACACATCTGGAGGCAACTTGGTTGCAAGTCACCTTAATGGATGGGACATTTGTGTTTCATTTTTTTCTGTATGTTACCCCATGGATTTCTACAGATTTGAATTCTATTCTTAATAAAGATGATGCCTCTGGGGAGATTCTTTTACACGGAGAGAACCACAACAGAGGAGAAAAGAGCTTCCTTGCACCATGAAGAATAGGACTCCTATGGAGTGTTTAATTTCCAGTATGGAAATATTTTTTCCCATTATTTTATTAAGAGCTCTCACAGATATCATAACATTACATAGTCGAAACAAATGGAAATTGATCTACCGTATGACACAGCTGTTCCTCTACTGGGCATAAAACCAGAAGAAGTAAGAAATAGACCTCGACGTCTATTCTCTAATATTTATTTATTTATTTAAATAATTTCTAATGGGGGATCCTAAAACTTATCACAATCCATGTATACATCCATTAGGTCAAGAAAAATTGTACAATTATTGTCATCATCATTATCAAAACATTTGCTTTCCACTTGAGTCTTTGGTATCAGCTCCTCATTTTCCCCCTCCCTCCCCATTCCCCCCACCCTTCTAAACCCTTGACAATTTATAAATTATTATTCTTTTGTCATATCTTACACTGCCTGATGTCTCCCTTCACCCACTTTTCTGTTGCCCATCCCCAGGGAGGAGGTTACATGTATATCCTTATAATCAGTTCCCCTTTCCTACCCCACCTTCCCTCCACCCGCCCCACCCGCACGGTATAATGGGGTGTCAAAGGCATCAGGTATCAAGCACCAAAGAATAAAAAAATCATATCATCGTGAATGAGGGGGATTGTGGGGTGGGGACCCAAGGCCTATCTGTAGGCAACTAGACATCCCTTCGCAGAGGGTTCGCGGGAGGAGACGAGTCAGTCAGGGTGCAGTGTAGCATCGATGAAACACACAACTTTCCTCCAGTTCTTAAATGCTTCCTCCCCTCCTCTATCATGATCCCAATTCTAACTTACAGACCTGGCTAGACCAGAGGATGTACACTGGTGCAGATAGGAACTGGAAACAGGGATTCCAGGACACATGAACCCTTCAGGACCAGTGGTGAGAGTGGCGATATGCTCCAATATTTATTGCAGTACAATTCACAATGGCAAAGAACTGGAAACAACCTAAATTTCTATAGATAGACAGTGGATTAGAAAACTCTGGAACATACACACCATGGAGTACTATGTAACCCATATGTCTGATACCAATCTATAAAGTCCTCTTCAGTCTCATGACACACATGCAATGACAGAGAAAGCAGAAAGAGCACAGAACAGTGGATGGGAAGTCTTATAGATCCAGTTGCATTGTAAGCATCTCAGCACTGGCAGGGGTTTCCATGTTACTGCTACAGGTTAGCCCACTAGCATAGTTCCATGTGGCTTCTCCAGTTCCCAGGTCATAGCGTCATGTGTCTTGTCAGTAGAGCATCTCCAAGGGAGTGAGCAGAGAGAAAGAAGTGTCTTCCGCCTGCAAGGAGGAAATACAGGAGTTTCCAGAATTCTCAGGAGTGGGTCATGCCCACACAGAGTCCTGATTGACAGGCTAGACTGCACTCCTTCACTCATAATCTTAACAAATCCCAAATTGACACCAGATTATATAACTACCACATGTTGCATGCCACCAAATTCACTCTCCACCCCTAGTGTTCCTCAAAGTATTTTCAGTCATTCTCCACCCCCACACACACACACCTGTGAGTCAGTCCTCCCTCTTCTCCTATTAATGGACATGCCTTTGTGTTTCCCTAGACGTTTGCTCCCTTTCCCCTCTGATGCTTTGTCTTTCCATCCGTACACCTTTTCCCTCTGAAAGGGCTGTCTACACGCCTGGTAGAGGGGTTGAGGTGTGTGTGTGTCCTGGCTTAACATAGATTTATGTGACAGCCACACACTATACAACATCCCCATAGTCTTCCTTGACCATCTGTTTCCAGCTTATGTGAGGCGCCCTTTGGTCAAGTGACCTACAAAACACTTGCCTGGAGTGAATGGTATATGGTCCATTGGGCACAGGTCAGGCACTCAACCAGGCTGTCTGGCCCCCAGCCAGAAACTGGATGCCCTACAAGCCTGAGCTGATGTCATTCTGTGGCTTATTTCTAAACCACTGGACTCATGCAGAGTTTGTAATTTTGTGCTTTACTAACTTAGCTAAGCATACAATCTTCCAGATAATTCCACGTCTTGAAGTATTTCATGTTTTCATCGCTATTTGAAGGGATGCATAGTATTCCATTGTGTATATGTACCAGAGTA